CAGAAGCTGGTGACTGATCTGCCTCATCCCAGAAGAGCACAATGATGGTGCCAACTTGGGCCAGTAAAGCAACATCCTCCACAACTAGACTGAAGAACAAAAGGACAGCACCTTGTCTGTTTCCCTTCCGCCAATTCCCCAGTGCTGTTCCCATCCCCCAATTCCCACAAAAAATCTTTAAAAAAACCTCTTACCCACAGCATCTACCTTTAGTGGCTCTGTAGAATATGTGAGATGATGCATTAAAGTACTTAACCCAGTGCCTGGCAAAAGTCAGCTTTAAATAAACTTTGCCTATAAATTGTTGTTGTTATTATTGATTGCTTTTGATAACTAACCAGTCTTAGTTTTCTTCCCACTTTAAGTGTTACTTAGCTGAGAAATGTCTGTTTTGACCCTGATAGAGCTTCCATGAGATTCTGTACCTGATGACAGTGGGGGTTAGTTCATTTCCATGGGCACAAGAACACATGACAGACGCAGAAGAAAATCCTACTCCCAAAGTTGACAAAGCCACACGCAGGGTCTGCATTTCTGGAGAAGAAAACCAGTGAGACTCAGGAAATCTGAGTTGATGGAATCAATCACCATCCCAAAGTTATGAGTGAAAAAGACACTATTGAAGATGTTTGCATGTGTTAAATACATTGTAGAGAAAGTGCACCAAGGCAGAGAATGTGCAGTAACTAGTAGCTGAGAAGTGTGACTTATCTATATCTCAACTAGAGAATTAAAAAACCTGAGTTATTGCATCAACTCTCCCTACGTATCAGAAATTTGCCAAAAATGGAGAGGGGAATGTGAATCCAGCAAGAGTTTGCTTTCATTGATTCTGTCCAGTGTCTCCTCTGCCTTTCATGAATAATGTAGGACTATCATATAAGGACTGAGGGATGTTAAGACTCATCAATGTGAAGAATTTAAAACCTGGGTGCATATACAGCATTGACATGGGGCTAGTATTGCAGTAGAGAGTAATAAAAGAATGGACCCATGTTGATAGATAAGCTGTAGAGTAGCTTGATATAGAATAATATTTGAAGATTCAAGAATAAGGACCTAAAAAAAAAAGAATAAAGACATGTATTAGGGAAAAGAAATAGTTGGGCTTTGGAGACCCGTGAAAGGAAGTTTCAGAGAGTCAGTTTCCTACCCAATTAAAAAAAAATCTCATGAAAGCGTTACAACATTAGAGTGGGCTCTGTTGTAAGGCAGCAAAGTGTGACCATTGCTGACACTCAAGATGAGGAGTGAAGCCCATCAATCTGGAATCCTGTAAAATCCATCACTGCACTCACTGGGAGTTAGGTGAAGCATGATGGCCACCTGTGTTCCCATAGTCTTTACATCTGATCACTTAGTAAAATTCATTCTAAGATAGGCTTTAACTGCTTAATGCTGTGTTCCTGTTGTACACTTCCCCGCTTGAATACAAGAGGTTTTTCTTTCCTTGGAGTCAAAAAGACTTCTCTAAGCTAAGATTGCAATTATGGTGACCTAACACTAGGAGTAAATTGGAATCAGGGAGTAAATTGAAATTGAAGCTGTAGTAATAAGAAAGAGCCCAGACAGAGGAAGTGACAGTATTGCATCCTCACATGAGATACAATTACATATAATGGACAAAATACTGACATTTACAATTACAAGTGTGATGGCCAGAAGGCAAGTGATCATTTGTTCTCTTAGAGGAATGGTCAGGCATATGACACCAATTACCAGGTATTTCTCAGGGATGATAAAGACAACCATATGTCTGAATCAACTTTTACTGACCTTTGACTCTTCTCAGGCACTATGTGGCAGGGTGTTTCCTACATCCTCAGATTGGTTTTGGGGAATCATTAGAACCACATTCTCCCCCTTCCTTCTGACCTCAATAGGTGTGAGTACATTCCCTGAGGAATAGGGGGACACTAGTTCCTGGGCCCTTTTCTCACCTGGAGGCACAGATGTGATGGCCAGAATGAAGATTCCCAGCAGGAACATGAAAAGCACCTGGCTTACTCGACGGCCCAGGTGATTCAGTGCCAAAAGTGCAACGTAATTGGCTGGCAGGGTGATGATGCCAAAAAGGGCCTGGAACAGGTAAATATTGCTCCCCAAGTACTGGAGGTGGAGAGCCAGGCCATAAAAGGGCACTAAGATTGCAAATCTGTGATGAACAAAAGAGAAAAGGTAGATGTCAGAAGGTTTAAAGCTGATGTCATGCAAATGAGGATAATATTGTCAGCCAGGCAACCAATGGTTGGTGTTAAAGTACAAAGGCATTGTAGACTATATCTTTACATGGTAATGATTTGAAAACTGTCATAAAATGTTGTATGATGACGGAGGTCATAATTGGTATTAAGTTTTTGGGGATCGGGGGTGTTCTTTTTTTTTTTTTTCAAAGTTATCCATACTTTCACTTTTAATACATATTGTTAAATTTCTCTCAAAATATTTCTGACATTTTACACATTCACACACATCAATACTCTCCATGTCCCCATATTCTTAATAACACTTGACATAGTTTTTCTTGCTAATCTGATGCATTTGAAATGGCATTTAATTATTATGTATTTTTTATTATTACTTTTTACGTGAAATGCGTGAAATGCACATTTTTTAGAATTAGTTTCAGCTGTACAACACAGTGCAATAGGTATACATTTTACCCCTCGAAGTGACAACCACCCTCTCCCCCAATCTGCCACCCCACTTCCACCCACAATATCATGCATATCTATTACAATTCCCTTGACTTCACTCCCACAGTATACTCCACATCCCATGATGATATATATATAAATANTAAAGGCATCTGTTATTACTGTTTTGACTATTCCAGCTATAATAAATTCTAGAATATGCTACCCCATATACTAGCCAGCTCCCCTCACTCCATGGTCCTCTTTTTTTGAATCACTTTGTTAATTATTAATTTCTAGATACATTTGTAACTCTTTTCCAAATTCTTCCAAAAGTATGTGGTTTTTAACTGTAATTACTATATCAATTATTCTACAAATTGATTGGGGAAAGAATTGTTCCTTTCAGTACTATTTAACCTTCCTATCCAGAAACATGTTAGTTATCTACAATTATACAAATATGCTAAGTCCTTCTAAAATATTTTGGGGTTTTTTCACATTTCTTATTATATTTTATATTTCGTAATTTAGTACCACAATTGTAAAAAGGATACATTTTTTTTCATTATAAATTTTCTTTATCTTACAAGATAATCCAGGAATTATCTTGGGATTTTCTTTTATTTTGATCTTGAATCAAGCAGATTCCTTAAAATTGTGTCACTTTCATGGAAATATCTTCCTGCTTTGCTTCTCTTAAGCCTCTTTTCCTGATAAAAATACAATGAAACCAACCAACAAACATGAAAATGAAGGCATCAGATAAGCACATATGTCCTGATTCTTTAGAGCAAGCTTATCCTTTGCCAACCAGCTTTGGTATAAACCATGACCACTGCCCTGAGGGTTTGAGTAAATCTTCAGGCTCCCAGGGCAAGATCTAGGAAGGCAGTTCTGATAGTTTCAGGCCAAAGGAATTTAGAAAAGGCAAGGAAAGAATACAAAAGTTTAAAAATCCTCTCCAACTCTTGATCATTTAAAATACCAATATTTATCACTCCTTTTCCTCTTTTCTAAACACTTCCATTCCCAGTGAAAACCAGATGGTCTGGCTCTCAATAGCAGCACAACAGGACTCCTTCCCCTGAGACACACTGTCATTTATGAGAGGGGCGCTTGTCCTCTCCCTGACCTCCCTCAGAGTCTTCAGTGACCAGGGCAGTCCACAGGAACCAGTAGTCCCACAGGCCTTACTGCACTTACTGGGCTGAGGGCTATGAGGAAACGAGTGAAGAGATTCTGGTGTTTGGATATGTGCGTGTTCGTGAAATACCTTCAGGGGTGTGTAGGTCATAACAAGGCATCTATTTTGGGTCTCTTCACTATGAAATCTACTAATGCAGGCTGGGCAGAGCTGGTCTGTGTGACCCAAGAGCCTTGGACAAGTCTGAGGTCACTGTGGGAAAGAATGAGGCTATAACTAAACCAAACACACTGACGCCATGGAAATTGTCTAGGTCTAAACCTGCTTAGGGGACAGTGGTCTCACTCATATTTGGAACTTCCTCATCACAGATCTATAGCACATAGTTCCCCTAAGGGAGACCCAGGGGGATTACTCACTGATTTTCGACGTCCTGGATGGAGTCAGGCAGAGGCTGATTCTTGGTTTCAGGAAGGAAGAAGACGAGAAGGCCAGAGAGGATGGAGAAGACTGCATAGATGATCCAGGGCAAGTGGGGGGAATACACCGTTAGGATCATCAAGAGGGGAGCCAGAGCTGCCCCAATATTACCAACAATTGCAATGATTCCTGTAGCTGTTGCCCTTGAAGTACAAACAATACAAAGACAATCTGGTAAAACCTGCACATGTCATCTGTGACTTAATATTTTGCTTTCATCATGACAGGCACCACAGCAGTTTTTACAAATGTTAAGACTGACAATATACTCTTACTTTTCACATATGCTCTCTTATTTGCTTGCAATTTTTTTCCAGTACACAAGTGCATTAAGACATATCTTCATTAT